CTTACTTACTTACTCCTTACTTACTTACTTACTTACTTACTTACTTACTTACTTACTTACTTACTCACATACTTACTTACTTACTTACTTACTTACTTACTTACTTACTTACATACTTACTTACTTACTTGCTTGCTTGCTTACTTACTTTCTTTCTTTCTTTACTTTACGGTACTTTACTTTACTTTACCTTACCTTACCTTACCTTGCTTTACTTTACTTTATTTTACTTTACTTTACTTTACTTTACTTACTTACTTACTACTTACCACCTACTACTTATTACATACCACTAACCACTTACTACTTACCACTTAATACTTACTACTTACGACTTACTCCTTACGAGTACTACTTACCTGCTACTTGCTGCATGCTACTTACTACTCACTACTGACTACTTCCTGCTTACTACTTTCTACTTTTGCATCCAGGACTCTGTTCGCCACTACTTTCTACTTACTACGTACTACCTACTACTTACTCCATGCTACCTGCTACATACTACCTTTTTTTGCATCTGGCTTGCAGCGACTCAACCAGGACAGAAACAAGAAGACCACCTATGACCTACTACCTACTACTTGCTACGTCCTTCTTACTAATTACTGCTTACTCCTTACTACTTACTTACTAGCTACTACCCACTACCTACTCCCTACTACCTACTTCCTACCTACTGCCTACTACATACCTGCTACGTACTACGTACTACCTTACTACGTACTGCTTGTTGCTGCTACAAGCACTACTACGACTACGACGACGACCACGACGACTACGACTACGACTACGACGACTACGATGACTACGACCACTCCGACTACTCCGACTACTGCTGCTACTACTGCTACTACTGCTACTACTACTACTACTACTACTTCTACGACTACTACCACCTTGATACTACCACCGGCGTTGCAACGACTGCTTGACGGCACTTACTTCACACCACCACTGCCGCAACAACGACGACTGCGTTCCGTGTACTCCCGCGACGACCACGACGACCACGACCACGACAAGCGCGACTGTTTCTGCGGTCAGTGCTGTCCTCGGTGGTAGTGGCGTCGGGCGTGGTGAGGTTAGCAGCAGCGGTGTTGTTGCCAGTGGTCGAATGGTCGTGGTAGTCTGGATAATTGTTGTTGTTGTGTTGTTGTTGTTGGCGTTTTTAAGTGATGCTGCTTGAAGTTGGATGCCTGCTGCTTTCGAGGCCGCAGGTGCCAAGATGAAGGCCAAAGAGCTCGTGTCCCGGCTGGAGCATGGGCGCACCCCGTGAAAGAACGCGAAACTTGCCCGCTGACTTGGCCTTTGGCAAGCGGCAAGTGGGGCGAGTCCTTTTAAGCCTTGTTGCGGGTCGCAGGGAGCTCCGAATATGGAGTCCTTTGCACTTCGAGACGAATTTTGAAGATCCCATGCACTCCAGGCTAACAATCTCTTGAAACCCGGGCTTCATAGACGCATCGACAAGATTGAAAGCTGCACAGGCCCACTTTTCCAGATGGCCACTCTCTTGCACCCGGGCATTTGGAGATGCCATGTTCCCGTAAGCTCGTCAGTGTAACAAGGCGAGCTTGTCGTCAGATCCTGACATTGTGCACAGCTCCGGACAGAGATCCACCGACACTCCGGCGTTTCAAGACTGTAGCATGGCACAGGGGCCATGAGCAAGTATGAGATGCGCTCAAAGGCAGCTCTGGCTCTTGTGGATCTCTGTCTCCATTTCTGAGTGGTTAAACCATGGCCTGTGGAGCTGTGCTAGGATTTGCTATTTCGACAACGAGCCGCAGGCTTTAGTGGACACACTCGCAGACAGACGCATACTATGAAGTTGTGCATTTGCACGTGCCCCAACGCAAGCTGAAGCCTGCAACTTCATTCGACCGCCGAACTTCCGGCCATCGTATGTGTTGAAACCGGACGCTTACATAGAGCTAGCGTTGCCTCTGCATCACCCCTTACAGTCTTATAGTTTTACTTCCCTTGGCACGAGACTTCAAAAACCCACTTAGTGACTGGTGAGGGGAGGCATGCCTTGCAGTAAGTGGCTGGGAGTTTAATGACAGTCTACAGATGGGCTTCCTTTTGCGGACCAAAAAGTACAGACTTGAAGCGGGAGGAGCGCTCATTCGCACCTGCCCCATAGCGATCCGCACGTCCTGCAAAGCACCAGTAGTGAGCTACTGCAGCCAACCAGAGACGTTTCCATGGAAGCAGTTCGGAGTCAGATTGAGTGCAACTATAACTATGGATTGCACGGTTTCGTTAGCATTTCATGCTGCACATTCCAGGACAAGAACCTCGAGGCCTCCAAGGAAGAGGCATCGCAGAGGCCTTTGGGGTTGAATTCTGCCGCTCGGATGGGCTGGGATCCTGGGGACAGCTTCGCATAAATTCTCGGCAAACGATTGAAGTTGTTCCGGGCTGGGCTTCCCGATTTGTTTGGGGTTGGACGCTTGGAAGCTTCGAGGTAGATTTGGATGATTTGGGAGCAGGCACTGTCCCACCTGTCTCCATCTATTTCTCAAGCCCATGCCACTTCTCAGCAGCATTGGCACCTTGCGTCGCAGCACAACCCCTTAAGCTTTGTTATATCGCACGCAGTCGATACCCCGGAAATTGACCAACCAACTCCCGTCCCCCCCCCCCACCCCCCACCCCGCAGGTTTCGCGAAGTGGCAGAGGCCTATGCTGCACTGAATCAATACTTGGGAGGCGGCTGATTGCGGCTGAACAGTCGATCGTAGCGGCAACAAAAAATGACAACGGTCGAGTTACTGATGGTGTTGACTTCCAAATCCTGTTCTGCAGCCTCCTGTTGCCTGTGTTGTGTCAACCTGTAAGTTGCATTCGTTGCCCATAATCAGCCGCCGAGTGGCAAACAGCGCCGTGCTGAACCGTGTCGGTCAGACTGGCTGGAATGTGCTCACATAGAGCACAGCGAAGGTTTCAGCATGTGTTAATGGCTCGGATCTCCTTGGTGTGGGAGGCCCTTCTCAAGTCCCGGGCCATTGGCCGAGGGCTGGGCTTTCTGCCGGGAAGATCTCACCTGTCATGAGACCGTTTGGAATGTGTCTCTTCCGAGGCTTAGTTATATCTCGATGATGTCAAGCTGCCTGCAACGAAAGCAAAACAGAACCGGGCTTCGAGCGTAGCATTGCGTCGCGTGGATAGATCAAAGCCAACGAGGACGCACAGATTTCCCCCTTTGCATGTGAACATACCGCACATCACCGACCGGTCGTAGACAGGCCATGACGTGTCGTTCCCCGCATGCAAGCAAGACGAAGACAAGTACACCGGCAAAGCCTGTGCCAGGTCCCAGTCACGGATCAAGCAGCAGGAAGATTATCCTCAACTGCTGATTTTGGGGAACCGCCAAGGTTCTGTCTGGGGCGGCCCTGGTTCACCGCAGAGTCTTCTCTTACGCCCGGGGCCCCTGTTTCGGTTGCATGCTTGCTGTGGCCTGCACGGTTTCTCTCCGTGCTGTTGCTGTGTGCTCACCGCCTGTTTTCCTGTGCACAGCTCGCAGAAGGATCAATCAATCAACGGGAGCCGTTGAAAAACTGGCACGGCATGTTGTTTGAGTGCCTCTGGCATCAAGCCAAATCGAACAAGTCGTGTAGATCGTAGAGCATCCTTCCGCCCGAAACGAAGCACAACAATGAATGCAGCCCAGCACACCTCGGGGCGATTACGAGTCGATCCTTCCACTAGCAGCCACTAGTCGGAGTTACAAAACAGTTGAACCGTCACCAAGCGTGCTCCTCGGCAGAGTTCCCATGGCAGCTCTGGCTAGGATACCTTCCAGACTGTCCAGGCCCAAGGTTTCTTGGTTTATGATTCGGAGGCGGCAAGTTAAGCTCGTATTCAACCGAATTAACGCAGACTTTTCTGCTAATGGGAGAACGGAGCTTGACAGGTCTGGCCTTCGGTGGATCTTGCTCGCCGTGGCTTGGTTGGGGCATTGACAACAGCCTTGAGCCAGATTCAAGCTTGATCGAATTTTCCAGTCTCGGACGAAGTCGCAAATCTAAGGTTGCGGCACTTCTTGCGCTGGCATGGGAACGCAAACGGAGGCATCAAGCACCAGTGTTGCAGGGCTGTTGCCTTCGCCTTATCTATCCTGCTACATGTAGTTTTTTGTTCGTTTGCCTGTGTTGTGTTTTACCTTCTGCTGTTGAAAAGCAGCTGCGGCTCCGCAAGCCGCATGCTCCATGCCACCATGCCTGCAGGCTGACTCGAGCTTTGACCGCGCAAATCTCCGTCGCGCTGTCCTCGCCCTATGCGCGGCACGCTGTCCTCGCTGCTGCACGACATCTGTGGCTTGGTCCGGGGGGCTGCTTTTCCTTGTCTGCAATTTACGAAGGGTGCAAGGGTGCTGCTTGTTGGCTTTCAAAGAGTGGTCAAAGTCGGTTCGGACATGTAGAATCCGAAATCGTCGCTAGAGGGGCCTGGCCAAGTCGGACAGCCGTCGTCTCTGAAGGACACTTCACTATGCGCTACCCAAGCCTGAGAGTGGACTGAAGTAGGCTCCACAGCACACACAGTCATGATCGCCTTTCGCATCTCAGCTACTGGCTTATCAAGCACGGGAGGCCTTTTCACGCGCAGGCCTGCTCGTGAAGCCAGTCTGCGGTACATGTTTCTGCGCCTGAGGCGGATACCTGTCGTGGATGGAGCAGCATGCCAGAAGCTCGACTCAACTCTGGCCAGTTCCAAGGTTTTGTCGCCGGAATATGCTGCTATTGTCGGACATCACGTCAGATCGGAGGTGGACCGACTTCGCCGAGATGGATTGGGATGCATTTTTGAGCCAAGGGCCATCATTGCAACTTGGCTTGTGGCTTTCACGGATGCGGGGCAAGCATGATGAGTGGAACACTTTACCGGTTCTTCAACATCCCCTTCGGAAAGAATCCTTTCGGAAACCGAGCAGAACCACGCTATCTTGCACTGCAGATGTTGTTTCTCAGGCATCACGGTAAACCCCGCAGTCGTGAAAGCATCATGTTTCTCCATTGCAACAAATCTCAGCCGAAGCCTACCCAGCCCAAAAGGCAACGGGCATCGAGTGTCTGGGCAGCAGGAGCTTAAACTTAGTCACAGATCAGCCAGGAAAGTGCTCCCTTGGAGAAAGTAGCTGGCTTCTGGATGTGATGCTTGTGTATTCTGCTCGGGACTTCAGGCACGCCTAGTGCTCTAAGAAGCATTCGGTAAAGTCAAGCAGTTTTCAAGGACACTGCAACCGGGTCCACTACACTACGTTCATGAGGACGTCCTCATGAAGCTGTAGTATGTGAGTAGACGGGCACCTTCTGACAGCATGCGCAGCTGCAGATATCCAAGGTCTCTTTGTGCGCACTTCTTTGGTTCGCAAAGGCATGCTGGCGCACTACCTTGCCAAACGACGCTTCTCAGCTCAGAAATACCCTTCAAAAAGTGTTTTAGTTTGCCCGATCACCGACCTGAGTGCCGCTTGTGGCAATCACCCCTAGGCCCTCCTGCCTCCTGGCTGGTAGTTAGCTGCAGGTTGTGAAGGAGTGTTGCCTGCATCCTTCGTGGTGGACGTGGAGGACGAGGAGGAGTTGCGGGTAGGTGCTGTCGCACTGGGTTTGCCGTCTGCCAGTATGACCTGATTCTCCGGCAAGATGCAGCAGCCTCCCTTAGCCTGCACTTCAAAACGTTGAAGGACTTGCAGTTGCTGCCGGAGCGATTTAGGAAATGGGCAGCTGCCCAGACGACCAAGTGCGACGGGAGTCTTTGCTGAGAATGTCGGCAACTCTTTGTCCAGCTCGAGTCCTCTAGTGGATCCTCTTGTTTCCTTCTGCATGTTTGGCTTCATGTTGCCTCAAAAACATGGCATGTCGCAAGCCGCAAGGCTGTAGCAATAAGAAGTGTTTTTAGCGTTTCTTGCCCAGGATTCTGGTTGTCAAAGCTGGCAATGCCAACCGCGGAGAGCACCTCCACCTTGTCAGCAAGTCGGAGGCACAACCAGCGACGAGCACAGCCGATCGTGCGCTTTTGAAATGACATATCACGATGTGCTTTGTGAGGAGATTGCGAGCAGGATCCGCGACGAAGTGTTGCAGCAGGCTCCTGTAGTTTTGTGGTGCAGAGTGTAGACTGTAGATTGTTGACCTAGCAGTCCCCCGATAGAAACAAGAGCGAGAAACTTATTGCTTCCCTTGGTAAACAACCAGCCAGACGCAGCCAACCACAACTACCCACCAACCCCCCGATCCCTCCCAACCCCCCAACCCCCCAACGCCCCAACCCCCAACCCCCAATCCACCCACCCAAGGTGGCATGCGTTCCTTTAGTTTCTTTTGAGCTGGCGGGATTTGTGCACCCCTGTTCTGTCATGCTTGACCCCAACATGTTCCAACGATCGTGACTTAAGGGCCTGGTCGAATGGGTCATTCAACCCTATGTCATGCCGCCGCTTTTGCGAAGAGGTCGGAAATTCCATGTGCAGCTTGTCAAATTCAGCTTTTCAGTTGATTGGTTTTTGGGTCCAACTCTGGAAATGGTATGTTCTCAGGTCCAGTTGTTTGAGCCGTTTGAGTCGGTTTTCTGAAAAGATGTCCCTACGAGCACTGGTGTAGAACAGTGGGACGGCAAAGCGCCGAAGCAGCAGTACTGTTTGGAAGCGCGTGCTGTTCCGAAACCCTGGCTCCTTGCAGCCCTTCTCAGGCGCGTGCACTTCCTTCTAGTCGGTTGCCCCATGTGTGGCTTCAGCCGCGCTTGGCTTCATGCAGCTTGGATGGAGCGTTCATGGGCATGCCCTTTCGGATGTCAGTGTGACGTTTGACAGTGTCCCCGCATTCGGAATGTTGCGGGAGTGCAGCTACCTTCTCGCCAAGACTAAGGGCTTGCGCATGCAGCTAGTGTAACTGAGCAATATGCACTTCTACGTTGCGAAGGAAAGGCTTCACGTGGTGCTGGCAGCATCCAGGCGATGGACGGTGCCCTGGCACTGCCTATCTTGACAGCAAGATTTGGGAAAATCGGCAGGAATTCTGCAGGTGAATCATGCGTACAGGAACGAAGAACACAGCAATTTCATGGGCATTCAATTCGTTTTCTCAAAAATTGGTTCCTGCTCACAAGAGACACTGAAGGCCAGGCTCCGGTGCTACTGTACATTGACATTGATGACCCGTCGCGATTTGAGAGCGCTGCATGCCGGGGTTTTAGATCGCATTGAGGATGATCCCACTATGGCGGCGGTACACCTGACGAACCACTGCGTGCAGGTGCAGTGACATCCGTGCAACCACTGTTGATCTTTCAGGGATTCGCAGGCCAGTTGCAATGGACTGTAAGACGTGTTTGTGCTGCCACTGCCACGGCACACCACACAAACACTATCCAGGCCGTCTTTTCGAAATAGGTCGGCGCCCCTTGTAGCAGAATCCAATCTGATGCATGGCAGGAAGGCGAAGCCACGGATCGGAACATGGCCACGGGCACAACTCGAGAATGGCAAACAGACACACAGCGAGATAGAACTGGGTTTAATTTTCGGGCCTGCGTCGTCACGCCTGTTCCCGCTGTACCTGCGTGTATCTTGCGTTCGCAGGCAGCACAGCCAGGATACAACGAGTCAGAGCAGGTGCTGCTCTGGGGTGAGTTGATGGAGGACTTCGGGGCCGTGCTTGGCAGCTTCAATTTAGTTTGGCGGATCGACTTGTCACGGAGACACTGGTGACCAGGTGTGCCAGCATGTGCTGCTGCTACTGCAATATCATAAAATTGCAGGTGTGTATTTGTGCAGACGACCGCTTTTCATTTTGAGGTTCGTCCTGGCCAGGCAGGAGGCAAAAACAGCTGTAGAAACAATTGTTCTGAGCTGAGTCTAGCAGCGATAGCAGTGTAGCAAGTCATGGCACAATGCGGTGAACCATGTGTCTGCACAGAAGATTCCCTAAACGAGCCTCCGGAGAAAGACTCCACGAGGAGACTGGCCTGGAGACCGAGGCGAGCCGCGAGTTCACCAAGGCCGCAGCACATGGCCGCGAGGAGTTTTTCTCCTCTGAGGCCCAGGCGCTCCTCGAAGACATGGGCCGCTCTCTTGGCCAAGCTTTAATGGCAGCGTCTGCCTCACCAGGCCGCGGTTGCGCTGGGACCCCGCGTCTTTAACAACTGTAGTGGTGTCACGACGTTTCAGGCTTCACGCCTCTTCCGCAATCCTTCGAGCTCTTCGGCGCAGCTACTTATCTCGAGACGGGTAGTGTGTGTGTGTGTATAATATATATATATATACACACACACATATATATATATACATACATACATACATACATACATACATACATACATACATACATATATGTCGGTCGGTCGGTCGGTCGTCGGCAACAGGCTTTCGCATCGTTCATTCTGGGGTGTCGTAAAGAGGTTCTTTCATTGCAGCCGAGGACTTTGTTTTCCAAGATCTTGGGACAGCCAGGCCAAAGGCGTGGCTGCTGGAGGTGAATGCAGGCTGGCATCTGCAGTGTCGTCCACGGCGCCCGCAATTCAGCGGTGGTGCTCCGGGTTTTTCACCAGGTCCTGATTTGGCCGTGTTCGGCGATGCCAGACGGGATGAAGCAGTGTGCCTTGCGGAGGCTCGCATCACGACCGGAGCGTAACGAGTTGAATTCATTCCCTGCTAGGACGTGCTTCGTGCGGCGGTGTTGCCTTTTCAAGATGCGCGTAAGGCAGGGGATGATTTCAGGTTGCAGCTCCTGTGCTGCTAATGCGGGTTGATCCTTGCTTTGACCAGTGGTCGTACACGTGGTCGATAACTTTAACCAGAATTGTGAATGCTGTCGGCTTTCAGAGTGTGCCCCATGTCCCATGTTCTTGACAGCCCACGCGGATGCTCCTCCAAACCAAGCCCCGGCCCTTGAGGATGCTCCTTATTTGGAAGCTCAATTTTGCCCGTGCCGAGAGAGAATAGGCAGGGACCGATGGAGTCATGCCTGCCTCTCTGACTCTTTCAGAAGCGGTCTCTTTGCTTGTCCACAGGCTGGGTTGACAGATTAGATGCTCTTGAAGGTGCAACTTTGCACGTGCTTTGCACGCAGGGGCAACGGGTTTCTCCATGGAGTTCTGGGCCAGTGCGCCTTCGACAAACTCACCACAGGCACCCAGTCGAGGGGCGGTGAATTTCAGAAGCAGGATGACTTTGCAGCTTTCCTGCACAGGCCGAGCTGCAGCGACTTGCACGGCGCCTGGGCACAGCAGCGCGCTGGGCCAAGGCCCGGAACACTCTCGGCTCGGTCGTTAGCATTCTCTCTTTTGGATTCAATTTTTGGGTGGAAAAAGCTTTCGAGTTTGGGGGCGTTTACCAGAAGGCTGCCCAGGGGCTCCAAGCTGCAATTGGAGAAAGCCATGTAATAATGTTGCTTAGTAGCCCTGCTTCGAGCTTTGGGCTGAGAGCCATGGGCCGTCTTGTCGCAGACGGTGGATCACAGTATGACCACAGTCTTGGTGTTGGGGATCCTGCTTCTTGCGAAGGTCCAGGCAGACTTTGCATCGTGGTAGCGCAGCTTTGTCCATGAAGAACCTGGTCCTTGCTCATGTGCCACTCACCAATGACCTGAATTGGCTGGAGAAAGAAGGAATCACATTGCCAGTCACTCATGCATTCGGTCGCCCAGCCCAATGCTCCGAGACATGCGAAGCCTTGCCCCTCATTCGTGCCAGGCTTTGCACAACCACAGCCGAGTGCAAGTTCGTGGCCCACAAGCCACGGTGGCCCGTGAAGATGCGCAAAAACAGCTTGAGAAGTGGGCCGGAGATGGCAACATCTGATGCTCGGCGAGAGCCTACACAGTGTTGGCTAACTAAGGGCGAGTACGAGTTTGAGGTGCGCGGCAGCCTGCGACCGAGATGAGCAGCTCTGACAGCTGATGACAGCTCTTTCCTTCCCAAGGAACGAAGTTTCGTCTTGCAACTAAGGCCAAGGCCGTGCCCTGACTGGTGCCATGGTCAAGGCCAGAGTTCAAACGTAGTGGATTGGGCCTTGGGTCTTCTGCTGTGTGATCCTGAAATGATGTTCTCGCCGCTGGAAGGGCTCAAATGTGAAATCACGTGGTGACGGACAAATCATCTGTGGAAAGAAGCGAGACGCCAAACACCCCATGCTGCAAACGGACAAAGATGCCGCAACAGGTGCATAGGAGTTGACGAATCCGCACCAACACCTCAAGAGTGATACACCTGATGAGCAGGAGCTTCTGGACCCTGTCTCTAGTCTCAGCAGAGGCCATGTCGGAGGCCTATGGAGTTCCAAGTGGCGCCAGCGCCCGAGCCGTCTACCAGCGGATTCCAGTGGTGACATCACCTGGGGCTGGCCCCTTGAAACTTATCGGTCCTGTGAAGAGAGACGCATTTTCAGCACGTGATAGGACTGTGACCTCACTCGGTTCCTGGGATTCGGCATGAAGTAGCAAGCTAAGTTTTATCCCGGCAAAACCGAGGACAGGTTCAAAGTCAACCGTTTCGCCAGTTGAGCACGCACACCCCCAGGCGAGGAAAGGATCACCGACAAACGGGCATGCCTGAAGAGCATGAGCATGGTCTCGGAAACTTGTATCCACCGTAGCAGCCACCATTGTAGCAATAGTAATGGTCATAATAATGGTAGTGGTGGTAGTAGAAGTGGTAGTAGTACTTCAAGCAGCAGTAGTAGTAGTAGTGGTAGTCGTAGTCGTAGTGGTAGTGGTAGTGGTAGTGGTAGTCGTAGTCGTAGTCGTAGTCGTAGTCGTCGTCGTCGTAGTAGTAGTAGTAGTAGTAGCAGCGGTAGCAGTAGCTGTAGCAGTAGCTGTAGCTGTAGCTGTAGCAGTAGGAGTAGTAGTAGTAGTAGTAGTGGTCCAGTAGTGGTAGTAGTAGTCGTCGTCGTCGTAGTAGCAGCAGCAGCAGGCAGGAAGGCCGTAGTTTGCAGTCCAGGATGCCTGGTGTTACTCGCTAGTTTTCCCTGGTGGGGAGGGGGGGGGAAGGTAGCTTGTCTGATCCGTTGCTGCGTGTAAGCGGGGATACGGCTTCATGAGCAGTTGTTACGCTCTGACAGCGAGAGGTCTGGTTATCCGCCTTGACCCATTGCTCAATGAGGAGCCTTTGATTGGAGGCGTGGGGGAGTCTCGACTTCTCGAAGCTTCGGGAAGGCGGTGTCGTGTTTGCATGTGGTCGCTTGCTCGGCTCACCTCGGGAAGCTTTTGAGGGAGCTCGCAAAAATTCGTAGTTTGAGGTTGGCAGGTGTGGAGTTTGCCAGGCATTGTGGCCTACTTCATCGATCCGCCAGTGGTGGACTTCCGCATGACACCCGGAATTGCACAGGCACGGATGCAGCTCAACCTCTCTACATGGGTTGGAGTTCGGACTGCGGCAAGCAGAGTGTACTGCAGGAGTCTTCAATCACGAATCCGGTGGTGAACATACAGTAGGTGAATGCTTACTACAGCCCACCCCCGAAGAGAAGGGTGACATGTTATGACGAACAGGCTGGGGCCTCTCGACCTGTCAGCACCCCTCCCCCCAAATGGCCCCTTCGACTTAGTCAGCTGGGCGGGTGGGAAAAAACGGCCAGTCCTCCATGCCACTGCGCCGACTGTACCACACACGACTGCTCGAGCACCCCAACTTGAACCACGACAAAAGTTTCGGGCTCGTCTTGATCAGGTGGCAGAGCTGGGTCCTCTGAACAAGGTTATCCGAGATCTCCTCCAGTCCGCCATCCACGACCAGCTCCTGCTCCCGAATGCCGCCTGGCCTGACAACGGACCCTGCTCTGCTTTTCATTTAGAATAGTCGAAACTCGAATTGCCAGTCCTTCCAAAGCCCCAGGAAGTATGGGGGGCCCTGGTGGTTGGGGGGACCTGACCCGTCCCTCAAGCCCTGACGAAGAAGCATTGGAGAGTTCGAGTATATTCGAGTGCGGCTTTCGCCTGAGCAAGGTCATCCATGTCCCCATGGTTGACGATGAGGACTTGGTGGACACGGCCAGCGTAAGAGATGCGAAGCCGCTGGGAGTGCTGAGAGTAACTGCCCCTCGGCCTTGGGATGTCAGGCCTTTTGCTTCTGTGCTACGACTCTCCGAGATCCTGCTGTCTCGGCCCTTGAAGACACTCTGGGAGCACGTCGCAGCCGTTACTGCTCGCAGTGCTTTTGAAGTAGACGTAAGTTTTCTTTTCTGGGGCACGTTAACGGCTAGATGGTGATGTTGAAGCTCCTCACGGGCCTGGCGTTGGCTTGGCTGACGGTCGGCGCGCCCAGCAGCCCCGGAGGGAGCCCCAGCAAGGCCAATGCCACGCAGGCTCGAAGCAACCTGCGAGGACCATCCGTAGCCTCACCGGACGCAGCACCAGCAGCACCAAATGCAGCACCAAGCGCAGCACCAGACGCAGCACCGGACGCAGCACCGGCCGTACCCGACGGTAATGTCCGCTCCGTTTGCCAGAGCCGTCCATTTGACAGCAGCCTTGGGCCTAACGGAGGCGAGAACATGGCGCAATGCCAGGGAGATTGTGACGGAGATGAGGACTGCGCGGGGGGGTTGATGTGCAAGCAGAGAGACAATGGCGAGTCTGTTCCCGGATGCAGTGGGGGCCTCTCCTGGCCGCAGATGGACTACTGCTACGACCCGCAGTGTGAGGACGACGAGGAAGGCTTGCCACCTTTGGACAGCAGTTTCGGTCACAGAGGTTCGACAGACATGCCGAAATGCTCTGGGGATTGTGACGAAGATGGGGACTGTGCTACGGGCCTCAAGTGCTATCAGAGGTCCGGTACCACGACAGTGCCTGGATGCTCAGGCACAGGGGTTCCCGATTTTGATTACTGCTACGACCCGGCGGATGCCCCCGAACCTCCCACCATGCCTCCCGGAAGTGGACCAGCTTGCCTTTGTGTCTTCGATGTTGACCGGACATTAACGGGAAAGCAGGGCACTGCCAATAAACCTGAGAATGATGGTGGGTGCCCGGCAGACAAAGAGATTTACGGTATATGGGACACTGCCTACAGAGGCGGCTGGCTGACGATTTCTGACGCTGGCCGACATCTGAAGGATACCTTCTGTAGCAAGTGCTATATGGGGATAGTATCAGCTGGTATGGCCAGCGGGCGCTTCTCGCGAGAGCGAACCTACTTGCTGGAGAATGTGCTGGTGGGAGAGCCCTTCCAGGCATTGCTGTCCTCCAATTCTCAGACCTCCCACTGGTCCGTCAGATCAGTGCATTCACCACTAGCTGCTCGAGCTGTCTAGAATGAGTTCTGCTACTTTGCATGTAGGTCGCGAGGCTTTGGCAGCCATCGGCTCTAGCTGTCGTACTCTTTGTAAGAACACTGGGGATTCAGGTTCTCGGATGGCCGGATGGGCAGAAGCAGGATGCAGTTGCTGGCATTGTGGCATGGTATGAGCAGCAGGGCATCAGAATCGCGGACGAAGACGTCTACTTCTTCGGCGATCGCACAGAGAACATCCCCCCCTTCGGTTCAACTTCTTTCAATGCCCGCGAAATCTCCTGTGTTTCGCGGGACATGCGCATTGACAATGGCATCGTCGGATATTGTGGCGCAACGGTTGTGTCGCGGCAGCAGCTTGCATGTTTTTCCAGCTGCAGTCTGAACCGAACAACTAGATTCAGTTGTAATTCATGTACCAGCCGGAAGCCCGCCGCAGGATGAGATCGTGGATACGAAGGGTGTCCACGTTTGCGGAGATGCGACACCGACACCGACACCTTTGCCCCCGCCACCGGCCACAGAGGACTGCTTGTGTATCTTCGACATTGACAGGACTCTCACTGGAAAGCAGGAAGACCTCACGTCCCCCTTCTGCGACAAGAATAAGGTGGAGTACAACATTTGGGACACCGCTTATACTCGGGGCTGGCTCACTCTTTCAGAGGCCGCTCAGACCTTGCCGGAGACTTTCTGCAACTCTTGCTACTTGGGTGTTGTCTCGGCTGGGGATGCTGGAGGTCATACCTCCCCCGAGAGGCCATTCCTCTTGGAAAATGTTCTACGCAGTGAGAAGTTCGACAAGATGAAAAGCGAGAACAGCCAAGCGTGTCTTGTCTTGCAATTGGCTGGGTCATCGCTGCTTCTAGTGATTGAGGTGAGTCCGAGGGCCAAGTGCACAGTGACCGTTCAGCGTGTGAGAGTGCCGAAGTTTACTAAAACACCCGATCGTGCGGATTTTTGGGCGTCACCCGCGGCCCGGAGAAGGGAGAAAAAGGGACGCCAGACGCTTTGCCAGGTCCACATGGTCCGACTATCCAACAGTGAATTCCCCTCTCGTGCTCGAATGGCCGAACCGGGAGAAGCAGGACGCTGCCCAGCTGGATTTCAGCTTGCGAAGTGACAATTTGTGCAGCAGAGGCCGTGAGGTTCAGCTTGTTGTGTCTTGCAGGCCGTGCAGGAGGGCATGACCAGGGGGAGACCGGTATGGGTTGAGATTTGACAGAATTGCAGCATTGTGCATACCCAGGCTGCCGAAGGCATCGTCTCCTGGTACGCACAGCAGGGTGTCACTATTCCCCCGAACAAAGTGCACTTCTTCGGCGACCGGACGGAGAATATTGGACCCTTCGCTGAGAAGGGCTACAATGCTAGAGAGATCTCATGTGACTCACGAGACTATACCTTGTACTCCAGCGGGATGGTGGGTCTCTGTGGTGCGAGGAAATCCGAGATTGTCGACACACCGGGTGTTGCACAGTGCTGATCACGGGGAATTCCGTAGTTGAATTCCAGCACTGCTTCGTCAGTGCAGGCCGTACTGCAGACTTGCAGGGCCTTACAGTCAAATCCATGCCCGCAAAAGTATGGGCTAGAGTTTAGAGGCTGCTTCTAGGCAGCATTTGCGCATGCCTATAGCTGCGCCCCACCTGATCCAGATGATTTTGGGTAAACGATAGGTAGGATAGGAAGTCGAGGTGGGGTGAGCTTTTCTTTCGAGCTTTTGGTGGGCAGTCACCTCGATGGCCCAGGGAGGCAAAGCCTCCAGGTGCATGTACAGATATAGACACATGCTCCGCACTCGGAAGGAGCAGCGGGGAGGACCTGAGGATACATAAAGATATTCCTCGGCCTCTTCGCCGAAAATTGACGCACCCCTGCATGAACTTCGCTCGCGAGGAGAAAGCAGCTGTCAAAGGCCGCGACCTGTACATATAGAAACTCGATTCCTGGATCTTGACACGTCAGCTGCAATCCATTTGCTTTGGACTTGAGCTGACGGCACAGAACAATCGCTTGATAGCTGGATGTGGAGCATCCAGCGCTGCTACACCACTAACTTCGCTGCATCTCTCGCCGGACTGTAAACAAAAACTTGGATCCCAAGGTTTCCTCCGTGCACCTCCCGGAAGCAAGTTCCAGCAGCTGCCTGGGTGGCGCACTGCGCCCTTGGCCTCGTCGGCAGATGACTCCGGAGGCTGACGGGCCCGGAAAGTAACAGGGTATGTAGTGGTAGCTGAGGAAGACCAAGTAGTAATACTACTGTAGTCGTCGTCGTTGGTAATGGTAGTAGTCGTCGTCGTAGTAGTAGCAGTCGCCGAGGTGGTGGTGGTGGGACGCAGTATTCGTTGTTTGCAATTGCTAGATTTTGGTTCAAGTTACTACAGAAGAGTTAGAATTAGAAGCTAGCAGTTCCGAGCTTCTAGGTATGGCAGCAGCTCCCTAAAACCCGAAAGGCCCTTAAACCCTGTAGGATATATAATATAATATACCATAATATACTTTACTATAATATACTATAGGGCTCTCATTCTTGAGCCAGGTCCGACTTGAGCTCAGCGCCGAGGCAGGGGGCACTGAGCCGAGCCAGAGAGAGAAGTTTGCTTGAGGCCTTTTGCTGACATGTTGGTGTACCAAAAACTAAGCTGTGTAGCTAAAAGGTTTCGGCGTTTGGCACTGAGGGGTTTGGGTGGGCGCCAACTGGCCAAAACCAAACCTATCTTCGTAGTGCAGAGGAGTGGCGCACCCCCGTGCTGGACCGCCGCAGTGAGGAGATTTACCACTTCAGATCCCTGTCAGCAGATGAAGAAGGCAAAAGCAGTGTCACAAACGAAATGGAGCTGAGTGTGGTGGCCACCGAGCTGTGTGAACGATCAGACTCACCGAGGCTCTGAAGCTACTCGGGGCCGAGTGTTCATCCGCATCCATGCAGCCTGGTCGCGTGCGGCTCTGTGGCCTGCTTGTCAGCTTTGGGGACACCTACTACTGATAGCCGAGACCCAATATTTCACTCGTAGAAAGTTGATCTCTGATCCTGACTCTCCCACAGGGACAGTGAAAACATGCTACACTGGCTTCTAAGTGCTAGCTGGCTCCACCTGACAGCTTCCGCAGCATAGGTGCATTATGAATCTGGCATCCAATCTAAATACATCTGTTTCGGGCAGCCCAGAGGAGAGGAGAGGAGTTCTCGTCGATTTCAGCTCAGGGGGCCACTGGGCTGCCCGACAACAGCTCTAACCCCTGCTACATCACGGCGCAGGTTGGCCGTTGTGTGACTGCCGGGCTTGCCGGGTAGTTTTTCGTTCGAAACACAAAGCACCCTTTTCCTCTTCTTTGGTTGTTCCCACACCGGTAGTGGTGCCCAAGCGCACATGGTGCTCTCGAAGTGATACTTAGGTGTACTCAGTAGCAGCAACCTTGCCGTTGATGCATTGCACATTCCGGGGAGGTGGGGCAGCAGCAACAGCGAACCACCGCCGTGCCTCACTGGTTCACTTCGGGGTGGTGCCTTGCCACTGACTTAATAGGCCTGCATGGGACAGAAGACAGGATGAAGAGCTGCGAGCGTTCCTGTGCATCACTTGAGCTTGCAGATGCATGCCGCGAATGGCTCCCTAAGCCGCACTTGGGCCTTATCTGCCATGTTCCAACTGAGGACCGACAGCTGCCTGGCTGAAAGTGGGTCGGGGGAGCTCTACGCTCTAGCCTTGCCGCGGCTGGAAAGGTATCCTTCACCATGACCCGACGCATTTCTCCCTTCGAGAGATTAGCATCGAAACCTGGACGAGAAGTCACAACAGAAAACTGTTACCTGTATCAACAACCATGCGGAGCTTGTGTCTACTGTTGTCGGGTGACGGCCACGACTACAGAGACCCAGCAGTTTTTTTCCTTGTGCCTGGTTCCTGAGCGCTCCCACCTGGTCATTTAAGGATTTTAGGTTTAGCAACGCCTGATTGTGGGGACAGTGTATGCTTCGCCAAGCAGAAACAGGAGTAATCAACCATATCAGCCATCGAGGCAACGAGCTCGATTTCCCTGTGGGAGAAGACGACCACATGCTGCGCATCTTGGCTAGAAAGCTGGCTAGCAGCAACGACGAAACACAAATTGGAAGGTTGCTCCGTAGGCCCTACCTTTGATTTTGAGAATATGTTGCGATTCGGAAAAACTTGGTTTGAGGAATAGGCGCGATTTCATAAGCACCATTGCTCTGGCCGAAAACGCACACAGTTCCTGTTTTGGGCTTTTGCATCGAAACCTTGGATCTCGTGCCGGAGGCTTCGGGTTTTGCTAGCAGGTTCGGGTTTCCTTCAGGGCTCTGGGGTTGGGGGATGAAGGGTTCATTTTTTGCAACGCTGGCGTGCTGAAGCGGACAGAACCTGCCCCTCAACACAGTAGTTACACTCAAGCTGCTCCTAGTCTTGTTGCACGCTTTTGGCCTGGCGGCACCGAAATAGCATACAGCTGCCGGCCATGCAAGTGACAACAGGGCAGAGACACTTGACAGCGCGACTTATGCCAAGATTCTACAGGGTATCGTGGATTTCCTTAACCTGTTGGCGGCAGCACCAGGAGGTCGTTATTATCCGTAGGCCAGCATCCTGGAGCTGCCATCGAGGCTCAGGCAGGCTCGTACGATTGGTCCTAGTCGCGAGACTCATCCCACTGCTCCTACATCCACCTACACCACCGACCCTCCCACAAGGTTCGCTATTCCTCGCAGGTGTTGCTGTAAGACAATGCTGTAAGAGATCATGGTGGCGATGAGCATGATGATGATGGTGCTAAGCTGCTATGAAGTCACGACATTTCTATGCCCGAGCCTGCTTCCCAGGTCTGGAGGTGTGGTATCCCGGCTTGGCCTGGGATCAGAGTCTGGGCTTCGTGGAGGAGGATCTTGACACAACCAACACAGGACTGGGCCCTACAGCGTGTTACGTGTTTCCCTGCGCGGGCTTTTGGGATGTAGCAGCAGCACTCATGCAACAAAGCGAAGCAGGCAAACCGTGGACTGCTGCATTGGACGGCAGGTTCCTGGCATTCGATGACACGAAGACTGCGGCCGAACGAGCATGGATCTCTGCAGTGCCATGCTTGCGCAATTGTCTCCACTGGGACTTGAGACACTAGTGCCACCAGTTGCTTTCAGAGAGATTCTTTTCCCCAGCACCCCTTTGCACAAGATGAGTGCAGGAGCTCCTTCTGTCTTGCTAGTGACTGGAAGGTAAAGGGCCAGCCCTTCCAGTTGCACGGGCTTGAGCCAGCTGTTGCGGCAGAGGCCTTTAGGACTCGGGCTGACTTGATTTCTAGCTGCTGCCGTCCGCTCGCCTGAAGCGCCTGCGAAGGCTAATAAGTTTTTCTGCCTGCAGGCTGGAATTTGAAAACAGGGAGGCGTGAAGGGAGATGTCTGTAATCTTTTTCCACGAGGAGAGAGCCCAGGCCGCCTGTGAAAACTTGGGAAGCCCGAGGTATGATGTGCGCTTCGAGCCCGAGGGCATTTCATCAGCGCGCCATCTTGCCAGGAGCCCCTCACCTTCCTGCGAACGGAGTAGGAGTAGTCAACGCCGGTTTTCTGCTTCCTAGCGGTTGAAGTGAACGATCTTTTGCATGCCAGAGCTTCAATGGACATTTCTGGTGTCGTCAGAGGTGCAGGCTTGAGTTTTGGTAGCAGTGCTGCTGAGTGGGAGCCATAGTATTATGTCCTCGGGAGGTCGGTGTTCTTCAGGCACGACTCTTGGAGTGAGTTGTGTTGAGATGTGTTCCGGGCGGCAGGAATATGCACGACTTCTTCGTCTTTGACTACAACCAGAAACTGCAAGAGTCTAGATTGCAAGACGTGGCCACCCAGTCAGGAGTTGTAAGACATTCAAGTCTGTCCAATGATCTCCTTGTTGCTGCTTGCTTCATTTTCGTCTACTGAGATGTCCGGCCATGCAGTGGCTCCATTTGTCTAGAGGGCAGGTACGTCATGTGAAGACCCACTTAAACACGTAAACCCCAACCGCAAGCCATCTTACCCACAGAGGCGCCGATTCTAGTGTGTCTTATCCTTCGTAGGATTCAAGCGAGCGGCCGACCTGCCATGGGGGCTTGTGCGAAGTAGCAAAAAGCCATCTTGCCAAGCTAGAGGCCAAAACGCCGTCTGTAGGGCGGGCCCTGGGGATTAAAACCCGTTACCGGCGAGGTCTCAGTCAGCGACGTGGGCCGCTGGGGATCACCTCGCTCCCTCGGCACTACGAAGAAGCGGAAGATCTCAGAGCTGCTGTGCTGGGGAGGCGGACCAGTCCTGCCCTAGCACGAGCACTTCTTGGTGTCTAGCACTGGCCATATCATGAATATTAGTCACTGAGACGCTCAGAAAATGCAGGATGCAGCAAACCTTTGTGACATCGTTGCAACGATTCGTTTTCTGTTATCCATGTTTCCCCATGCTGTGTCATGGCAACGATGCTTTGACACGGTGACTGGCTACTGTTTCTTCTGTGCTGATGATCATGATGACAGTGTCTTCTACTGCAAACGCGCCCGCCATGGCCCGCCTGAAGGGGATGCAGAAGGACACTTGGTGTCTGCCGAGTGTCTTCACTTCGCGGAACACGCAGGTGTCTGCAACGGCTCGGTGCAAATGAATCTCCACGAACTGGCGAACAACACAGAGGCTGGCCTGGGGATTCGGGTTTTGCATGCAACCCCAGCCCTTGCGGAGCCACACTGTCGAAAGCTATTCCGTTCCATCATATGGTCAAGCGTTGTCTGGGATTGTTCCACCGGGCGACATATCTGGAAAGGAGTTGAATTGCCACTGACAGAGTGATGCGCCCCGATTGTGTCAACCATTAGGGCCAATTCAGTCTGTAGCGTGTCTGTGGAGCGAGCTGCGAATCGGATGGCAGGTTTCCCTCGGTACAGTCACACTTCATGCCGAGTGGCTAGAGTGTCTTGGCAGAACAAATGAAAAAAAGACCATAAAAGACCTACAGATGAACCATGACGAAGGCTTAGACGACCACGGCCTTGATTCCCCTGAAACACCCTGCGCTGAGGATCATCCCCCACTCTGCAGCTCGGCTTTTTGGCCATTTGGGCCATGATGCAACGGCCCAGCTTTGTGTGGGAGAGCGTGTCGACGGGTGTACCAGCAGTCGGATGCTTCAGGTGGACTACGATGAAGGTTTGGTGCAGTTCCACATTGACGAGGCCATGAGCATTATTTGAAGCGCAGAAGCTTTTGTCATCTGCTTTCTGTTAGAAGCTGTTGCCACTGTGGCCTGCCTCCTTATTACAAGATATTACAAGCGATGTGCCACGGAGGTCTTCGTGCCGGAGACTGTCAAAATGGATCAGATCGCATTGTCCGTGCGAGTGGGCGAAGAACAGTTGCGGACACCCTTGGTGCGTTGCAAAGGGGGCGAGGCCACCCCGCAGTTTCCAGAAAAGGGCTTTCTCGGTGTTTTTTCCGATGCTGCTCCCAGCTCGTTCCAGCCTGAAGCCACATTACATCTGCCGGCTCCGACTCCTTCAGGCAGCTGACCAAGATGGGAAGACGAGACAGTCCATTTCGCGCACCCAGAGCATCTTCCAGGACTGGGGCTCAAGTCGTGGCAGTTGCTGCTTTCATTGTTTCCAGTCCCGAGCGCCACACGTCGCCCGTACTTCGAACGGTGTCTAGACGTATACCGCGTGCGTAACTGCATGGCGCATGCAACCATATTCTACACACACACACGCACACATGTTTCACATACACAGACATACATGAACGTGTACTTCTGGATGCATATGCATCTGGATGTTCCTAGACCTTGTCGTGCAACGTCGACTGTGCCGCTGCCATCTGGTTGCTGTCGCAAGGCACCTTGAGAGGCCTCTTTTACGTTCATGTATGACATGGACAGCGCCAGATTACGAGTAACTCTTTTGCTTCGCTCCTTGCCGCCATTTAGTGACGCGTGCCTTGGTAACACAATCACAGATGTGAAGGTGTGAAGCTAATGTACAAGGTTGTTCTGATCGGGCAAGCGACGGGTGCACACGCATATCCAAGTTGAAAAGCAAACATGCACACACATACATACATACATACATACATACATACGTACATACATACATACACACATACATGCATACATGTGAAAAATATGCTGCACACACCTACAGTAGATGCATGCATGCATCTAATTTCTAGACCTATATCTATATCTATGCCTATATCTATATGTACACGTGTTATAAACTTTGTTCGGAGTATACAGTATGTGGTGGATCACTTGCTCATCATAATACCATATGGACCAGCACGACCGGGCTCTCGTCAGCTGAATACTCGAACATATGCTCTGATGAGCCCTCACAGGGTGCTTTGTAGCCCTGCGGCTCGAGAATGTCGCGGGAGCTGGGAACTGCAGCCCCCGTGCCTGGACCCCGGAGTCCGGAGCCAAAATGAAGAACATTCAGACTTGGCTTTCGAGCCTGCTTTTGGCGCTCTGGTTCCTCCGCCTTGATGCAGCCACGCTACGGCTGCGGAGAACAAAGATGACGTCTGCCGAGCTGAGGATGTCAGCTCGAATGAAGGCCATGGCACCGGAGAAGGCCACACTCGCGAACATGGAAGCATCTGTCTTGAATATGGCCAAGCTACAGTCGGAGCGCAGCGACTCGGCTGCAACAAACTTGACGGCCTTTCTCAAGGAGATACAGCAGTTAATCGACAACAGCATGAAGAAGAACATCCTGCTGCGCATGAACCAGACCCAGATTGATATGGACGAGGCTTGGGCGAACTTGACTAGCTGCAGCCACCCCAACGACACCGGGTTTGTGGAGGAGCTAGCAGATCTGGATGCGAAGCACATCCAGTGTCGTCAGACGGAGGCCGACCTTTATGCCAACTTTCAGACGACCTGCGTTGTGGGCTGGCAGATCTATGTGGATCGGATTCATGCTCTCTGCAGCGTTTACATGCAGGCTCAGCAGCTCCCAAGTCCGACGAGCACCTGTGTCATGCAGCAGGGCACGCCAGTCCCAACCATTGGCAACTACTTGAAGGGTATGGCTGCGCACTTCAAGGGAGAGTATGAGGCAGTAGTAGACAAGCGTCTCAAATGCCAAAACGCCTCTGCTACACCCTTCGCCGATATGGAGCTGTGCAAACAGATGATGTGCCATTACTGGGACACCCGTCTTGATTGTTCCAAGAAGCAGGCAGCCTTTGAGCAGCGAGCTTGTGAGTTACACAAGACCTACACTTGCAGCAAGTTCGCGGAATGCTACTCCGAAAAGGTGGAAATCTATGAAGACATTGACAGCCTGGCAAAGCAGACAGAGGTGGCAGCAAAGGCAGAGTGGAGGATTGTTCAGAGGATCGAATGCTACATCTCCGCTTTGAGCAAACCCAGAGACGAGCTGTCGGCAGCGATTGATGAATGCAAGGGGCAGCTCTTCCCCACCAAGCCCGTCGAACTTGTTTACAAAGGGCCCGCGCCGGCTGTGAAGCCGTGTGCCGAGGTCTATTTACAACCGGGATCGGCAGTGTTCTCTGCGTCCTGGTACCACGCAGCTCCATTGCATGCGCCTGCTGAGAGCTGCACGTCGAGCTGTTGCATGGATGGAACTTTCAGCTCTGCATATCCACCAGGCTTGCCGTGTCCGTATGTTCCTCCGAGTGTCGTGGCTTGAGACGTCTTCCCAGATGGCGGCAGGCTCTCGGAATCGTTGAACCCCGTTGAAATGCTGGCGGTCATGGCCTGAGGCCTGACCTGCCTTGATGGCCTAGAGATGGCTTCGTTGAAATCTATGCGCAAAACCGGTGCCTTGCGGCGTCTCGCGAGCATTTCACTCCCTATGCGCCCCTCCCCGCAGACCCCGTATATGACGTATATGCGTGGAGACTGCAGGAGGCCAAGGGGGAGATCGAGACGATCCTTCGAATGCCAGTCTCCAGGTTAGCCCTGGAAACGCAAAGCTTGGAGATCGCCGCCTTGAATGACAAAGGTCGGGCCTTGATTCGATTGCTCTTGAGCCTATAGGGCCTACTCAGCTACTCCCGGATGAAAGCTTTGCGGTTGTCGGATGTTGGTCCATAGGCCAAGTGATCGCGCGGCATGCCTTCCAACTGCACCATCTGGTGCGAGCGCCCATGCGCGCCATTTCCTTCGAACCGTGCCCCGGCTCTCATGTTTTTTTTCTCCAGATGTGAACGGAAGCCATGTGCTGCAGAGGAGCGCGCCTTGTGACTCACAACACGCCCAGATGGTGGCCTAGGTGCAACATGCACATGGAGGATCAAAGCGACCAGCGAATCTCCGCAGAGGCCGCTCGCATCAGCCTCTGGAGAATGTCGCTACTATCGGAAAACTGCCCAGGTCCAGGTGCGGCTCATGGGACTTCATAGAGTGAAGCACAAGGATGCCATAAAGCGGCTGGCGATCAAGGTTACCGCAGATGTTGTTGAGCTGCATTGGTTCGGCCTGGTCTTGCAGATTTGCGTGGAGAGAGATGCGGAGAGAGCTAGAGAGAGAGAGAGAGAGAGAGAGAGAGAGAGAGAGAGAGAGAGAGAGAGAGCGAGAGAGAGAGAGTTCCTCCGGGGGGAAACCCCTTTGTCCCTAACCCTAACGAAAGAATGAAAGAGAGGGAGGAACTTCCCTCACCGACAACCCTGACGAAAGAAAGAGAGCGAGAGAAGAGAGAGGGAGAGGGAGAGGAGCAAGGGTGCGCCACACCCCAGGCAAGCAAGGGTGCGCAGAACAGTGAGATGATTTGTCACATTCTCCCACGTTACAACTTAGGATGCGTCTTCAGACACCGAGACCTCGCAAGACGAAGGTGAGGAGAGCGTTGCCCTGGTTGATCGGTCCTTCTCCTTGAAGTGGGTGAATTTCATCTATGGCTGCTTGGATGATTTTCGGGATTCCAGGTCAGCACCGGAGATCATAAGACTAAAGGATCAAGACCGCTGGCTCCCCCTCGGGCCGAGGCAAGCTCCACCCGAAGATTTCCGTAATCATCGCACGGATGATGGAAGACCGCTTTGGCCTGATCACACAGATGCTGCAGGCTCGCTTGCCAGGCCCCTTGAAGGACCTCGCCTGTGCCTGAAAGAGAGCTTGAAGAGTCGCTGTTGGGAAGCTCTTGAAGCCAAAGCCCCGAAGTCTGAAGGACATCCACTTCAAGTATTTCCGCCTCGGGGATACTCCACCTGCTTTCGGACCGATCACAGTGCCTCGGAAGCCAACCGGACGTTTTTTCTGGATCCCGCAAAAACTCGCTTGCGCTTGAGGTGGCGGAGACGCTCCGTGGCCATCGAAGTGCGGGCATCGAGATGCAGGCTCGACCAGTCCGCAGTTTCGGCCTACGGCACACATTGAAATGGGACTCCGGGCCACGGAGGTGGGCTTTCAGCTCGACACCAATGCACACATGGAGCTGAGCGTGTGGCCTGTCCCAAAGCCGAAGTCACGGTTCCTGAAAAGCAGGGGCCACTTCGGTTCCTGAGTTGGATGGATCAGCAGGGTTTGCTTGTGTCAATTCTCATGTCAAATCGAAGGCATGGCGCCAACTTGGGTATCGATCGGATCCGAGTGCAGGGTCAACTGCTGGTTCGCTTGGGTCCGCTCCTGGAAGAGGTGCCCGTTCTCGGTGGCATCGATCCCCGGTCAGCAAGCAGCAGCATTCAATGACAAAGTGCAGCTTGAATCGCATGGCTTGTGCAGGGCAATGACAATTGGCCAAGGTGGCATGCTTCCTGAACCCACCAGACCTGGAGTTGCAGTATTGCGGCGTTGCGCACTGCGTGGGCCCCAGCCACAAGATACTTGTAGCACAAGTGTGGGCCATGGGCTGAGCCGGCACCCGAAAAACCGGGCATGGAACCAATTGGAGCAGGTGTTGAAAGCACCATGCTGGCCAACCGTTTCCAGAAGATGGTGGACGTGGGGTTGGCAAGTGCCCTAGTGCTGCCCCACGTGCTACTTGGCTTCGCGACCTGTTGGTCTTGCTATGGAAACAGCAGATGTGGCGTCTCAGCTGTTGGCCGGAATCGTCGGGCCTGAGAGCAAATTTACAGGCATTTACAGGCCTTATAAGCTTGCAGCCAATTGCAACTTTTCGTGGTGCTATCCATATGTAGTTTCTGGGCAATCTTCCAGCTTCCATCCTTGAAAGACTTCGCACCTTAAGCTTGGCCAGCAAAGTCGAGTCTTTGCAGGTTTTCCGTCCCAATCGGCACGGAGGCGCAGGCCGTGGACCGAGCTCTTCTGGCGCATCCGAAACCGATAGGCTGCGAGGGTCGTGGAAGTTACACGGGAATGAAGGTGCACTTAAAGGGGATCTGTCGAGAAGCTTAGCACGTGCTCGCGCTGGCATTATTTTGTAACTACCTCTTTTGTTTTTCGCTAAGAAGTCGTGGCTGGCGTGAGCTCTACATAGGCTTTTATTTCGCCAAGACAAGTCCTCCAGGGGTTTTTTGCAATCGGATCACATCATTTGGGGAGTTTACGGAGTTTAGGGTTTAGGATCATATCATCAGACCCCTGTGCAAGAAGCAGGTGTGCTTCGCGTCACGGCCGTGCGTGCCACCAACCTCCGTGAAGGTTGGCCTCTGAAGCGCTCCAGAAGCCGGCGCCCAAGTCAAATATCATAGTTATCAGTATCATAGTGGCTGTGATGATCTCTATTTGTCGCTATTGCTATCTTTATGATTAGTGTGATTAGTGTTATCATGATTATCTTTACTCTTATTTTATTATATTATGATCTTTACTATCATTGTTATTAATAATATCATTGCTGTTATTAACTATGTTGTTTAGCAGTATTAAACTACATTGCATTGCAAATTAAATGGTGGCTTCGATATCGGAGCTTGATAGATGCGATGCCTAGTACTGCTGGCCAATCATGTTGCTATGTAGTACCAATGTGTACGTGCATCACGTTCGGGACGGCGCAAATCATGCTTATATCCGTGTTTGTAATAGCCGCACAACGTAGCCTCAAAATGCTACGTAGCACTTGAATTGGGGGTCGCTGTCCGCTGTGGAGGCCTGAATGAAAGTTTCGCCGAAAGTGGGCGTGCAATATGAACGTCAGCTTCATAGAATGCGAAATGTTAGCACAGACATCACATGTCATGGGCGCCCATTGCTGGAGATTGGCTGTCAGGAGTCTAACTTGCATAGCCTCAAATGATAATTACGAATCCATTCGCACCGATCTGTCACTGTTCGCTGGTCGAATTCTGTAATTACCGAACGCAGTGATTATGTATGCTGAGGTCCCTACCTGAGCTTGTCTCTCGCGGGCGAGGAATGGCAGACTTCAGCAGTGTTTCTCGACTGCATCTGTCGAGCTCTCCCGGTAGATGGTGGATAGTTGCACTGGCATTTCGAGAGGTTGTTGGGGACAGTGTCTCCCAAGCAAAAAAAACATGTTTCGGCCTCTTCAAGCTGGCGCAATGGCCCTGACGATCGTCATAGGTCTGAGTACGCTGAGGTGGTCAAGCTTGAACCCTGAGTGGGATGAGACCCATGATTTCCTCGCGGCTCGGCATGTGCAAGTTCGAAGAGATACCGCATGCCCAAAAACTCATACTGACAATTAAACTGCGGGCCGCTGAGACGTGGACTGCCAATAGTTTTCGCTTCGCTAGGAATAGGGCAAGCATCGAGTGGCTCCTGGGGGGGGACTTCTTGAGTCACCAGTTGATATAATAGGGTGGAATCACCTGTATCTTTTTTTCAATCTTTTTTGTAGCTGTAGAGTGGAGTCGTACTCGTTGTGCTACGAGATCTCGCATGGCCAATTGTCCAGCAACACCCGTGCTGCTACGTCCCCTTTGCATTGAATGTGTGGTCTGCATGGGTTCTGAAGTGCACTCGTGTTGCCATCGACGATGCATGGACCGAGATGTGCCGTATTGGTATATACTGGTACATGCGAGCCATGCGCACTCGTTGTCGTGATATTGTCAGGTATACGACAAGCGCCAAACACTGGGCATTGAAGTCGTTGACACGAACTCACTTTTTCTGCGCAAAGTGGCCTGGCTCGTGGAAAGCTCCTGAGTGGAGTTGCTTGAAGCTCATGATTTCACTTCCTGGCGTCAACTCCACTGCTTAGGTCATTGGCTACGCTGACCCCATCTTGGCGACAGACACAGCACCTGATCAAGCAACGTAAGAGATGCACCTTTACGGGGTACTTCAAGGCATTGCCCATGCCGAGCATACTCTCAACACCAAACTCGAGCAGCCCCACTTGGAGTTGCGAACGTCCGACCTTGTCCCTAAACCTGCCGGACATCGTGTGGAATGTTTCGGTGTGAGTGCCGAAACCTGTCGTGATTTGCTGAGGAAGCGCACTCGGAAATCCCCCTTGCTCTCTTCGACTGCCCGGAGAGCTCAAACACACCGAAGGCCTCAATCGTCCTGTGGGTGCTGAAGAGCAGGGGCGTAGTTTGAAGATGCCAATGCTCCAGTGCACGGTCCAGCTTGACATGGCCTGGTGTCGAAGTTTTAGGACGTGTACTTGGAGCCATTGTTAGCTACATTATGACCGGGGGAATTGGAGAAGAATTGAAGGCTGCCTCTCACCCACGTCATCCGGCCGGAAATGTGGAGCTTCGCTTGGACTGGCTGAACTTTGTCAGGCCCCCGACAGGGTTGGCTCCATTTGTGTCTTCCTCGCCAGTACATGCCAGTAAAGGTGGCATGGGTCAGATCTGAAGATCCTTTTAAAGTCTTTGAGTCTTGGGCCTCGCGCTGGCCAATATGGCCATGCGGCAGCATGCGACGCCTTTAAACTGTTCCTTGGTGAAGGGATTCACGAGGGAGTGCATGTCCGCCAGGCATGGGCGAAAGGGTCCTGACGGCTTCTGCGTTCTGCGTGTGAAGTTCGATGCGGCTTGGCCAGAACTCGGTGGAGTGGGTTCGCACTATGACGACACTATGATGATTCACATGCGATGCTTCTGCAAGTCACCACCTAAGGAAGTGGAGGTTCCTACGCAGTTGGTCGATCTGCGGAGCACCAGTGAACTGGATCCCCTTCGAGTTCGCATGTGTGCCAGCATCGGGAAGGCTTTGACATAATCCATGGAATTCCATCTTGAGCAGCAGATGTTAGCATGGCTCCCTGGCAAGGTTAAGAAGTCGACGCCCGAGGTGGCGTGGTTTAAACGAGACCCGACTCAGCAGGCTGGAATGTAGGCTCGAAGGGCCCCAGCGAGAGCCCTGCCAGCACTTTGGACAGGACCCTCGAACGATTGAGTTGGACATCGAGAATGTGCTCTACATGCTCATTCACAAAACGGATCTGGAGCACGGTGTTATTTAGTCAGATGCGGAAGGTCGAAGTCCCTGTCCGAGCCTATAGGGCCTTTGGAGCCTTGCAGGACTCCGGAACTTTGGAGCTCGAGTTGCTGGACGGTGGAACCCCGAGATACCCGAATAGTTTGCTGCGTGACGGAGCCGCTGCTGTGGACCTGGGATCTGTTCTTTCTCCTGGGATCAGGTCACGACAAAGTCCTAGGCTCTTCCAGCCTCGAGCTTCACAAGGCGGGCCAGCCGTGGTCCGAGGTTCATCTCAGTTTCGCGCTCATCGTAATTCAGCGCAGCTATCGTCTTTGCTTTCTGGCTGTTGTGGAAGTACGGGGCTTTATGGCATCACGCCTAGCATCATTTTCTTAGTTGCGGTAGTTGGATTGGTGGGTTTGCTGCCAATTTTATTGCTATTGTTGCTGGCAGTCTGGCAATGTTGCTTTCAGCTTTGCATGCTTCTGGAGATGTGCGCTACAGCATACCGGACATGACGAGCACAGCGAGCCAGCGGGAAATTCGTTCTCAATGGCTGGACTGGGGTTTAGAAGGTCTCGCCATGCCATGACTTATTTCGGTTTCTGATTGGGAAGGCTCCTCGTAGCATGAGGGCTCTGATTATTTTGTGGTCACGTCTTGCATGTGCAACTGAGACTCAACCAGTGCACCAAGTATGCAGCCCTGCACAGGAGTTGGAGGCAACGGGACATGCCGTGCGCCTTGCATCGACCACGACCGTTTCAAGTTTTCCTAGCGGTCCTAGCGGTCCTTAGCGTTACGCAGGCACCTGCTTGTTACTGGTATGTGAAAATTTACATGACATGTTTTGGGCCGTCGGGGAGTTGCACGGTACATAACATTATTCTTATGCTCATTCAGGAGCAATGCCCTGAAAAGTGGGCACATGCTTAATGACTTAATGCAATGCCAATTTGCGGGGAGTGCGGTTGTGGGACAGTGTCAGTGTGACATTCTGTTCAATACCGTGATGGAAAGCAATTAATACACACATGTAGTAAATAAATAAAGGTATAATATATATATATAGATAGATAGATAGATAGATGGATCGTTATGTCATGCACCTTCATGCACTACACAGGCAAGCCCGAGCATCAGCCCACCGGGTGTCGATCCAATGTCCATCCAAGGTGGAACAACCAGCGCCCACATCGCAGGTTGCCTTTGCGGCATGGTACAGGCTCCTCAGTGTGCGGGTCTGCGAAAACACGTGTGAAAGGATTTGATCGATGGACCACTGGCTATTGTGATAGAGCCAGCAAGCTCGGTTGGCTGTGCACCTGGTAACTTCTCGCTCATATCTCGCCAGTCAGTGGCGTCCTTGCAAGAGCTCCGGCGGTGGCACATCGGCATCATCATTAACTCAACAGTATGGAAAGTCCTTAGATGTGAGGAAGGCGAAATTGTGGTGATGTTGTTCGGTCCTGACATCGATGCAGCTCCAGCAGAAAATGCAACATGGCTTCCTGCTGTGCCATGCAGGTCGACCTTGCTTGGCTGACGTGGATATCTCGTTCCAGGGTCTGCGCCACTCAGACGATCTGGTGTCGGGATCTTGCTGTAGCACTGTAGCGGTCTTCGTGCAGTTACTGGGTAGCAGGAGCGGTAGCAGTATGGTGGCACGGCCACGGCCTGATGCTGCAAAACAGTATGCCAAGTCATGATGGCGGTGTCTGCAAACCTTAGCTCTGAATGATGTCTGGCATGCCGCGGTATGCCAGTCAAAGCAGAGACATGTGCAAACATAAACAAGTTGACCATTTGGGGCATGTGCCAGGCGGATCGGCTCAAGCCATCCGATTGATTTAATCCCAAGCCCTCGCCCTCAGGCAACAACTCGATGTTCTCAAATCGGATTTATGCACCATCGCCATCACCATAAAATGCACCAGAACCCAGCCAAAAGCCTTCGTCGCGTTGATGTGGAGTTGCAGAGGTGTTGCCGTGCATGCTGGAACCCAATACTCGCAGTCGTCGACATGCGCGCCAAGAACTACAGTAACTACAGAGCATCTAAGTGGAGTACATAAAGCTCTGATAAAATTGGCCTTGTTGTGCTCGGTTCCCGCTCCGCAGAAGTCCCCGATGCGACGGATGCTCCTTTGCGGCCGTTCCTGTGCGGAACATGAAGGCAGATGAAGGCGCTGGAGGTGGCTCGACTTCTTCGACGAGGCGGTGACTCCTCGCAGGCGGCTTCTCGCTTCCTCGAGGGCCTCCGCAGCGTGGGGTGCCAGGCTCCATCGGCAGGAGGGGGAGCTGTGAGGGCCGGCATCTTTACTTTCGAGGATGCTGCCTCTTTGGCTTTGCGTTTTGCACGTCACGCGCCGCCACCGCCTCGGAGATTCTTCGAGGAGGTAGCGTCCTGCCTGGAGGCTCCACTGCGTGAGGCCGCGGCGGAGCGCCCAGTCGCATTGCCAGTCTCGCTGAGTCGTGACGAGGAGACAGATTCCGTTCTGGCTACAGGCACATCGGCTGTGGTCCTTGCAGACGCGTTTGCCCGCACTCGCTGTGATGAAGGCATCAAAGTTCTGGGACTGGTATGCCTCAGTGCACCACCAAATCTGAGCATTTCGCCCGTGGAAGTGCTCCAGCTGATTGAGTCGCTATCCCTACTTGGGCCGCAGGCGTTCCGAGACCCAGCTGTTCGCAGCTTTTTGCTGATGCGGCTGCAAGAAGCCTCGTCGCAAATGGATGCCTGCTCGCTGGCGCAGTGCGGTCGGTATTTGGCAGAAGCAGGCCTCTACTCTCCCGAGCTCAGCGAAGAGATCGCCCAGCATCTCGCAGCTAATCCCTGGTGCTTCACACCGGGCGAGTTGCAAGATCTCTTGCCACACTTCCAGACATGGAAACTCGGCGAGGTTCACAAGAAGGCTTTCCACAGCCTCGGCCGCCGCATCTCTGAACACGCCGAGCTCTTAAGCCCCGTGCAGGCCCTCCAGGTCATCGAGACCTTCACCAACATTGGGAGTGTCCACGAAGTCGCTCTGCAGACGCTCTTTCTGCGTTTGCTACTGGAGCGGTCTTTCACAGAGCTCCCCGAGGATGGGATCGCCCGGCTTGCTGCATCAATGTCCAAGGTTCAGCATTACCACACCGGATTGCTGCGAGAGATCGTTATCCACATCAGAGAAGAGCCCGAAGTTCTCGCGGCCTGGGGTCCAGAGCAGCTCAGCGGCCTTTTGAGGAGCCTGGGCTTGGCTCCAGTCCGTGTGCCTGCTGCCACTCAGATTATGCTTGGCTGCAGATACACAGCCCTTTTGCCCGACATGACCAAAAAGGACTTGAAGGAGTTCTTCGAAGTGTGTGGCTGGCATCCGGATCTTCTCCGACGTGTTCTTGGCACCCAGGCGGCGCGAGGGCTCCCCCAGAGTCTGGCAGCCGCTGCACGTGAATGGGGGCCTCGTGCCTGTTCAGATGCAGCTTTGGCGTTGACGCTTGCGGCTGACACATCCGCAGCCAAGGCCTTCACCTTTGGATGCCAGGGTTGCTCCTGCCAAGCAGGCGCTTCCAGCGCGCAGCGCCCACGTGCACACTTCCGCTCCGAGCAGCCTGCGTCGCAGTTGCAGGTGATCCTTCGTGCAGCCCGCACATACAAGGATCCTGGTTTGCGGCAAACTGTCGCGAGACCGGAGATGCCACTGAAGCGCCATGCAAAGCACCTCTATCTTGCTGGGGAGGAGGCGCCTCTGAAACTGCTGCAGGGCAGTGGGAAGTGCCAGGCGCTCTGGGCCCTACCCGTCCGCGGCCGCCGCAGCTCTCAGCGAGAGCTGCCGGGGCAGTTTCTACAGGTAGCAGCGGCACTTCTCTCGGAGGTGTTGCCCACGCTTCTCGGGCGTCTCCGTGACGGTTCCAATGCTTTATCGGAGCTTCCTGGTGCTTCACTCATTCCGGCTCTTCTGGGAGAGCCGGCTCCCTTGGAGAGCATCGGCGGGCCGTTGCCACCTCCAGTGGAGACCCCCGCTGAGGATCAGGTTCTTCTGGGAGAGAGGCAGCTCCAGCTTCCGCTGGATGACGTGGAAATGCCAGGGCAGCATCGAGCAGCTCCGGCTTCAATCCCGTGGTGGGAGAAGATCTCGGAGCCTTCCATTGCTGACGCCACGCCCGAAACCGAGTCAGATGAGCGCGAGCTCGAGAGCATGCGGCGCTCGGAGATCTTGGAGGTTTGTGTGCAGTCGTTGGCTGTCATGCAGCTTTGCTTCTCGGCAGGTCCGTCGACACGTCTCTTTTATGTACTGCCTCTTCACACGCTCAAGACCATGGCAGCAATGCTGCCCATGGTCAACTTCCTCTTGCGGCCTCGCAGAGAAGATGATGCTGTTGCTCAGCGATACCACCTGGGTCCACAGCGAATGGAGGCTTTCGTGCGACGCCCCGATGAGCACATGCAGAAGGAGGTATACAAGGCGACCCAAGACCTGATTCCTATGATCCCCGGGCTGCTGGGCTGGCGATACTGGCCTCGGCGGAAGCGGGACACTGTGCACGGAGAGGAGACGGGTGGTGCCTTGCTATCCTTGCAAAGAGACCTGGAGGTGCCCCCCTTCGTGATTTGCATAGTCCTGAGACCGAGAAAGCCGCAGAACACCCAGCAGAGCGCCGATGGCTCTTTCTGGACTTCATCGCAGTCTGAGACCTCAAGACCACCTGAGAAGGATCACGGGTAGCTCCTAAGCTTCCAGCTCCCGGCCGCTGCCACCTCGAAGGAGAACGTCTAGAGTCCAGGAACACCCACAGCTTAGGTTCAGCCATAGCTTGGTCCAATGTGGCCCCTTTCCTAAACTGCGTCTGCCTTGTTGGATGTACGTTGGACTCCTGCTGACTTCGCCTGGCTGTGCCGGGCGTGAGCGGCCAAAACATGCGAATCAGGAGTTTGTTGTCAGTGCTGCTGGGCAGATGTTTAAAAGGTTCCATTTGCTCAGTTCCCTCGATTTGCTCCGCTTGGGGCATCCCTTCGCTATCTGAGGTTCATCTGGCGACGTTTCCCAGCCAGTCGGGACTACTCCCAGCCTTTCCGACTGACTAGAGGTAGAAGTCCGGATGCTAGTCTTCAGATACTTCACGAGGATTGAGGGTTCCGGAGACCGAGTAGGAGCAGTCATCATCACAACACAGCAGCAGTGCTAGCCGTGCGACTAGCGATCACACAGCATGATTGCGCAAGTTGACTTGGCAGCAGTGGCAGCAGCCACAGCTAAGATGTGCAGCTTTGATCCTGCATGTCAGCTGCGCCGGTCTTGCGTTGTGTGAAAGGGGGCACAAGAGGGCTTGATTAGATTCGGCGCGTGTCGCTTGTTGTGCCGAGGCAGCCCGCACGTGTGACCGCTGCCCGTCAATCTCGACAGTTTTTTGCGGATCCCCATCAGCGCTGATGGTGGAGCTTTGGCTTCTCGCAGGATCTAGCAGGCACCTGCAAGCCACTCATCCCAGCATGCACATCATATCCAACGCACAAGACTGTTTCGGTACTTGGGATTGCGAGTTGAAAGCCAGGTAAGTGCCTGCATGCTCGACAGAATCGAGCGAGGTCTGGGCGAAGGAATGTTCACACTGCGAAGATGCGCCAGACAAGGTGGCTTTGCAGTGTGCAGAAGTCAGGGCAGGGTGCCCTTGACGTGGTTTCATTCTTGGACCAGGCGAGTTCCGAAAGCCTCTTGCGAGCGATCGTAAGGAGGTCATGGAGAAGCCTAGTATACTGTACCCTACTGTACCCATCCCTACTCTGCAACTTTGTAGTGTTAGCGGCGTCCGTCACCTGGCCCCTTTCCAGTTTGTGGGCTGCTCGCTACCTGGTTTGCCACAGCTGCCGATGCCACTTTTGATCGTCGACAGAGTGTGATCTGGACAGAACAACCGTGAAAGCAACGCACATCACCGACAGATACGAACATCAAGTCCTCTTCCCTGCAGTTCCTGAGTTTCGGCACACCAGCCGTCGTCGGACAGGGCATCGGGAAAGCTGGCACGGCATGCTTTTGGTGGCAGAGTTCCGCACAAGAGGTGTCACGCAAGAAAGTTCGGAAAAGCCAGTAGGATCAGGGAATGCTGATCGAGCCTTGTTGCTTGCTGAGGAGGTGCAACAAGCTGGCAGCAGAGCGCCTTAAACATGAGGCCCTGACCGTGGTTCAGAGAAGGGCAGCCTTCCAGCAGTGGCCACTTTGAATACAGACAGCCAGAAGCCTCTCTGATATCAAAAACGAAGTGGGCAGCAGATCGTGCATGTTCGGTCCTAGCCTCTGAAGGAGCCTGAACTTACTCTTCCTTAAGTGCCACTGCGACGGTCACTTGATCGTGGAAGAATTTATGACGCCTGCCTGGCAAACATGCAGGTTGAAGTCAGATGCCCTTTGCACATCGCCTGCACTGGTTCTTTCAAAAGAACTGTACAGAGCCAACAGTGCAGGCATCAGCTTTGGCAGCCCTGTGCTAGTGAGCAAAGTCGTGGAGGTACGCACTGACATGTTTGTGTTGAATGCATGTATGTGTACAGCCTGTACACATTATACATCTTTATACCTCTATGAATACATGAACCTATGTATGAATATTAATATGAAGGCAAATAGAAATAGAACGCACATATATACATGCGCACATACTAACAAAGCATATTCTATCATGTTTTGAACTTTGGGTTTGTTATATCCTGTTCAGTATAGTATAGTTTCCGATTGTGTATGTCGTATTTTTAAAAGAAGTAACCATGGGGCCGGCCCCAGTGCCAACGGGGCGTGAGCAAGACTGAGCAAGTGTGTCTCTGTCTCTGTTCAAATACACCCACACATCCCATACGTCACACACACACACTTTTACCTAACTTTGAATATGAATGAAAAATACAAGGATATGCATGCAAGTGTATCTATAATGTAAATGTAACGTGTATGTGCTGTCTTACACACTGAGATTTGAAAGTAAGATCTCGATGCACGAGCCAAAACATCTCTCTTACTAGTCATGTCTGGCTTGCCTCACGCATATCATGCCGAATGTGCTTGAAACATGTTCGAAGTGTGTGGTCTGAGAAGCTCCTCTTGGGGTGCCTAGCTATCTTCGCGAGCGCGCCTACCGCAACAAAGTGGCAATAGGAAGAGGCCACGTGCTTCTGCGTGCTGCTTTGGCACCAGGAGATGTACGGTTGGCTTGCTTTCTTTACGCACATGTGCTGTGCGACAGTACCGGCAACGAGGGCTTTGCCTAGCATGTGATGTGTCCATTCCGGAAGCGAAGTGCTTCTTGCCTCTAGCAAGAAGCAAACGAATACAGCACAGCATAACAGTCAGTTGGCTCCAGAATCAGCCAGGACAAGCTGGGTTTTGACGATGGGTAAGTTCTTGCCTGGAGGCTGTCAGAGAATGTTAAGTATGATACATGCCATGCTGCAGATCTTCCGTTGGTGAAGGGAAGCATCCCCAGCTGCGGCTTGCCGGTTAACTTGCAAGACTCCATCCCAGACCCTCAGGGTGGATGAGTTCAATAAATCTCCTGAAATTTGACATCCGCAGATCCTGGTGAGCCACATATTCGGCGTCGCAACAGCTGCTCTGCTTCCCTACTTGGCAGGCCGTGCCCGTTATCCCGTGACCCCCTGAAGCTGCAGAAGCAGTGCTTGAGGGGGACTTATTTAAGGAGCCCTTTGGTCAACCCAAATGTACCATGTAAAGGCCAGTCCCCAGCACCTGCGCTTTCGTGCTGCATGTTCAAAGGAGCACTTCATAAGTTAAGAGTTTGTGGTTTCACAAACTTGACCCTCCGAATCCTTTCTTCGTTCCGACGACTTCGCCATTGGTCTCTGCAGAAGGCTAATTCGCAACCTTCTGCTCGTTCGTCACGGGTGCATCTGGTTGACAAGAACGAAAGGTTTTGTAGTGTGACTTGGTATTTCGAGATAGCAAGGAACATCTCTGGAACCGCTGTCGAATTGATACGTGTCTTCACTCAATGTAGCATAAGGATTGAAGGTTCCGGACGAACGAGCAAAATTTTGATAGCTTTCACAAACGCCCAGGCTTAGCCAATGGCGTAAATCAGGCTTGCACCATGCAGCAGCTGGCCGAAGATTGAATAAGAGTTCTGCTCTGCGTTGACCCAACAAGCCCTCAAGAGAATTTCGGCCCGTTTTTGTTTGTGTAAGCGTCCACCTGGCAGCTGTCCCCTCACATTTTCACAAGGACGCTTAGGGGGTCTCAGGGTCCTTATGACCATTACCAGTCTGTGAGCAGTGTAGGACTCATCGCCAGTGCTCGCTGAGGTCTATGTCACGAAGATTGATGACAAGTGCCTCGAGTTGCAAGAGCCGGTAGTTGGGCTGTGCTGCATGGTTCCCGGCCGACAGCCTCAGTTTGAAGAAGTCGAAACCTGCTTTATCACGGGAAGCTGGCAAGCGATAGAAGAGTCGCGGTATCCTAAACATGCTTCTGCAGCATTGCAAAGTGCTAGTCGATGTGCTGGGCGATCTTTACAGGAAGCGGTCAGTCGTCGTGACCTTCGCAGCGGACAAGAAGGCTGCAATCCAGCTTGGCAGTCAATAAGTTCGTGGTGCTGACGGGATATCTTTGCTGCACCAGCACCCGACACAAACTTACATCAGGCGCAGCAAGCCCCTGCCTTGGTGCACGAGGTCTAGCTGACCTTACCTCTTCTGGTCACGTGGAGACCCACCCACACTCTCTTTCGGTCTCTTTCTCTCTCTCAAACGTGTGCGCACGGCTGCTGACAGCAAAGTTGTTTGTACGCCAGGTGTGGAAGGAAGTGCCATTCTCCAAGCTAGGAAGGTGGCTTGTCTGCCTTATGTTGTCTACGCACTGCCGACTTACCGACACGGCTGTTGTCCTTTGCTGAGTGCCGGCCTTGGAAAGCGCTCTGTCAGGAAAGGCTGTCCATTGCAGCCCTTGTCCAAGGCCTGGCGGTGCCCGATTCGCAGCTACTCGGTGAAGAGAGCGACTGTCGCATCGGCTTGCGAGCAGGCTCAAGAACGGTAGGCCTGTAGGCAGGTTGGGGTGAAGAGCAACAGCAGTGCAACAGCCAAACGACCCCAGATGGCCATGCAGTACCTCCGAGCCAGCGCAAGAAAAACTTTCGGCCGAAGTTGAATCGCGTTCCTAGTTCTCTCTGCGCCAAAAGAGCACGGAGCCGCGCACGCATGCAAGCAAGATCACAGACAGCAGATATCGGATTCGTGCCTGGCCATGGCAAACAGGGCTCTTCTTGCCCCGGACCCTTCGCAGAAATGTGCTCCTGCAGAGGGTATTGGGCAGTCATTACCAGAGGATGCTCTTTAGCACATCGTGTAATTAATGTGCTCATGCTGGGACTCCTCTAAGATGGTGCTCGTTGCTCGCGATGGGCTTTCGAACAAGATATCTCCCAGGAGCTTGTCTACAGAGACTACAAGCACAGCGATGATGAAGCATGCAAGGCAGGATCGGATTAAATAGTTGCCCGTATTACTCTTCAGGCGATCTTCATGGATGAAAGAAGAGACCTTGTCTTTGTGGGCGTTCGCGAAAGTTCCCTTGATTGCACCCCCCTCGACATGTCGTCACCACAGTACATCAAAATGCCCTGCCGGCAAGGCCCTGGAGATGCGCGCCATGCAGGGTGCCTTTGCCGTACTGGGCCGATGAGCATGGGATTGTTGAGGGCTTCGATTTTTGTGAGGCGAGACGGATATGTGGAGTGCCGCTTCATGCTGCCTCCAAGGTTCGCGCTTCCCATGGCTGCAGAAGTTCACGCGCATCTTCATTCGAGCCGGCTTTCAGCACTTCCTCACATTTGACGCAAAGCCCCGCCAATACGAGGATGCGATTGCTCGAAGTGTCTTGCACTTCACGTCGTAGCCTATGAACAGCATGCTAGATTAGAGATGAGTGGAGGAGGCATGTAGTTTGATTGTTTAAGGTGTACTGTATCTGCAAGCAGCCCGCCCAACACTGTTCGAGCCTCCCCATGTGACATTATGTCTGTGACGAGAGGACCACATCATCCGCGTTGCAGAAGATCGATCGGAAGGCGGGCAGAAGTTAGACGCTGAGCATGGAGTAACAAGATCGGATCTGGGTAGTTTGTGTCTCTCAACAATGGTATCGCGACCTTCACCATTGGTATGGCCATTCCCTGGAGAGCCTGGCTGCGTTGATTTTCAACACACACGCTAACACATTTGCGTGAAGGAACTGCGCATGTTCTTGGCATAGACAGGATCATGGGGGCATCACTGTTGTTCGCAGCGGTCCGTGTGATCATCGCCAAACTGGTAGCATGCTACGTCATCAATAGCGTAGTTTGCGCTGCGTTGCTCTCATTCGTCGGGCTTCGTGAAGTTCGCTCATGTTATCAGCGCTCCGACCGTAGCAAGGCGTCTTGCAGAAGCAGCAGTCGTCATGGTCATCATCTTCGCCATCACAAGCACTGCGCCTCCCTTCAGGTGGGCGCATTGTAGCTGTCGGCTGCGCCGCCCTCAAAACTGCACAGCTCCACGGCAAGATGTGCAAGGTTGCCTACATCTTCGACCTGTCCCTGGGCAGCTTCTGGTCCTTTTCTGTGGGATTCTAGGAATTTCATGGTTCCCTTGATCAGATGACTCGTCGGCTTGCTCAAAAATTGCGATTATGCACTGGCCTTTCTTTCCCCGACGGCAGGAAGCACCTTCACTAGTCAGGCGATTGCGTTTGGGAGATGTAGAATTCTTCGTGCTAGCCAGGCATCCTTCTGCAGCTTGGGATTGCTTTGTTTCTTTAGGCTTGGTAATTCTGGTGCCAGAGGTGCATCAAGCATAACCAACCCTCTAAACATACCTTTGCAACCTCTGCCAAGTGCTGTTGATGATGATCGAGCTGATGCCCTCAAATGGCAGGCAAGGCCCTTTGGAGTGATTGCAGAATGAATTTCTGGTTAAAACATGCTGAGCATGCTTTGCTGGACAGCCAGATCCAGTGAACACGTGCGCAGACCGAAACATGGAAGACAAAGGGCACGGGCAAAGCTGAGGAGGGTTGACGAAGAGTATCAGGGATACGGCGTCGGCAAGGCCTTGACACAACAGATTGAGGAGCCAGTGCAGTGGGAAGAGTCTGCCTCGGGTCGCTCCTGGTCGCTGTGTCTCCTGTGTTGGTTTGAGCATGTTTGAGCCATTGCCATGTGCTACGCCGTGTTGTCGCAGTGCTTACCAGCAGGCATTGCTCAGTGGTTATCAGCACGTGCGGTACAGCCTGTCTTGACCGGGTGGCAATACTCCTTTCATACATCCCGACATCTTCTGAGCCACAGAGGATGCCTGCGAAGCGAAGGGAGCAAAGTTTCTCTACCTGACCGTGCCCCGGCGACAGAAGAAGTACCACCCACAGCACGCAAGCATTGAGAGGATTGATGGACGGCTTGTGAAATGCTGTTGCTTCATGGTTTGCCACACTGAGAGCCACCCACAAGGTTCGGAGAATCTTCTATCTATACACGAGCTATCTCGATTACAAGTTTAACTTCTTTGCAGCGACTGATGTCAGCAGGGTTTCTGCTATCAGCACGATTGACGGTGTACTTTGCTACGCTCGAGATCAGTCTCATTCCGCAAGGTGAATTCTGACAACGTCAAGGCGAAGTCCCTTTACTCCAAGCGTGGCTTCGTCCACGCCTCCCACCGATACTTTGGTTCCAACTGAACGGACGAATGCAAGATGCGGAGATTGTAATGCCACGTTGCATCGAACGTGACCTTGGACAGGTCATGGTGCGGGTGCTTACACTAATATGTCCAACTAGCAGTTCTTCTTGCGCAGCATGTGGAAACAGCCAGGTGTCGAAAAGTCTTGTCTGTGCCCCAAGCCCATTGGCTTGGATCTAGGCCACTTTAGCACAGACCGTAAGCAAGAGCACTTTGGAGTACCCCTAGAAAGATGTAAACAAAGGAAGTCCTGCCATGGCATTGCTGGCTTTCCCCGAGCAGGAGGACCTCTGCCACATTGCAGACACATGCTTGCTCTGGGGGGTCTATAAGGTTGTATCAGGCATTTGTTTGTGTGTTTCTTGCAGGCTATGCCATTATGCGTTTCAGGATTAGGAAAACCCCTTACCTTTGCGTTGAAGGGTTTTATGTCTTAACGGCTTTTGCTTGCTGTAAGGTTGGGTAGGGGGTTTGCTCTTCAGGGTTTCAGGATTGGATGGTGCCCAGCGCATGGCCTACAGTTCGCCAGGACGCAGACATCGAAGTCGAAGAGCTCGACAAGGTGTGCTGCTGCCTGAACCCTAATCATCGCAGAACCATGACTACAAGGCTTCTAATCCTGTATTATGTTCAGAGGACCCATCCTGTCCCGTTTCCCGGAAACCAAGATCCCTTGAAACCTCCAATAGTTGCTTTAGCGCCCTTTTGGTCGAAATCTCTGAATCCTAGCAGTGCTTGGAGGAGAGCACCGCGCTTGGAGGAATCATTTTCGCCGCGCTCCGGAATCCCTCTCGTAGATAATGGGAAGCTTTTTCGATCTTTTTCGGTTCGTTTATTAGGGTCTTCCGGGGCTTTGGGCGGTTTCCGGGACCTACGCCGGCATAAGCAGTGAATAGCCAAACTTGTCCTCACAGAAACCCTCAAGTCATTAAAGACAGGTTCGCGCTTCTAGTTTCATGCTTGGCCTGCAAGCCCTAAACCCCAAACTTGACCCTTATGCCCTCATTCGGGCATTTTTCCCTTCAAACCTTAACCCTACCCTAAACCCTAATTAGAGTTTAGGGCTTATGGAAAAACTCTAATTTTTCCCTCCCACTTAGCAAGGATGAACCCTGCAATGCGGGCTCGTCCTTGCTAAGTGGGAGGGAAAGA